ACACAAGATCTTTCTTAAAAGCAGAGGGGATGACCTCCAGAAAGGCGGCAGTGAGAAACTGAGTGGAGGAGCTGTGTGCTGAGGAGGGGATGGATTCCTATATGGCTGTTTCACATGCAAGAATGTCCCAGTCTGGGAAACGTGCCAGTAAAATGTAAAATTAAAGCTCTGTTTTGGAGTCTGATCCGTGCAGATAAGAGTCTCAGGCTGTTAACTAGTAACTACAAGAGGGGCAATGATAAAGGCGGAATACTTGGAGACAGGAATTCACAGGTTTGTTCATGCTTAACCCCATTTCTACGCTTTTTTTTCTGCATTAGAGATTAACAGCTCCCATGTTCTTTTGTTTTCTACTTCCCTGATTGTGAGCAACATGGCGAAGCCACTGCATGTGTCATGAAGATATGTGACGGGTCCTTATCTACTTTGTGAAGAAAGTGGGAGAGGTTATGTGGCACTGCCTGTGAACCCAGGGATGACTTTTGGGATGTGTAGCAGTCACGCTCGTGTTTAGAGGACTTGATGTTGCATGCAAACAACACCTGGATCTTCACAGCATCCCTCTCACCTAGGGATCATCCTAGATGTTGTGGCTGCTCCATCGCTGGCAGTGTTCAAGGCCAGGTTGGACAGGGCTTAGAGCGTCCTGCTCTAGTGGAAGGTGTCCCTGCCCATGACAGGGGGGTGGAAGTGGATGAGCTTTAAGGTCCCTTCCAACCCAAACCATTCTATGGTTTTATGACTTTGCAGTAGGCTGTGTGCACAGTGACACTTGGGAGGACTGGCTGTCCTGGTAGGCACAAGGACATGCACATAGCAGGCAAAGTACCTGCTGAAATATCTTCAGCAGTAACCAAGGAGCCTGCTCTGCTTATGCGTACATGGTGCTTCTCCACATCATCTGAAACCTTCAGAGGAGCTTCATATTTAGGTGTTAGCACAAACACAGCTATAAAAATTGCCCCCAAAAAAGAGAAAAGAACAATGAATTGGAGGAAGTGTAAAGTACAGAATGTGAACTAGTCTCTTGTAGCAGTGGGAAACTGAAAGGGGGGGAGAAAGGGCAAGAAGGAGGAACTAATGGGCAGTGAAATTAGTGAAACTCAAAACCAGCTTTAGATACATCAGAATCTAAACCAGTCCTGAAAGCAGTCACCTGCTGGTGCCTGGAACTGGAGAAATGTCAGATATTCTTTCCTGTAGCTGCTAGAAAAGTTGGATGATGGTACCAGTTGCAGCAGCAACGTGATGCTCTCTGCTGTAGCAGTAGCTTGGGGAAATACCAAACAGCAGCTACTGCTGTTTCCATGCATCCATGGATTTTAAAAGGGCTGCTGAGCAACACTCTGGGCCATAAATGCTGGTTTAAAATATATGTATATATACATACATGTAATGTGAGTTAGACTGAGTAAAAAGTGTGTGTTAGTTGCTAACAAGTAAGCTAATATCAAGTCTAATCTGGGCAAGCTAGAATAGTTGGCAGTCTGATGTTGGCTTCCAATAAAATAACAATAGCAGATAGGGGGTGGATTGGTCATGATTTAAGGGGGTGTTAATTGCAATAATCAGCCTGTTCAGATATTTTAAAATAGGGGTTTTGTGTGATTTTCTGATGTTGCTATAATTCTGCTTGATGAAGGTTAAAGCTTTGGTATGTGTTGTGTGTTTAATGCACTGAAGTTGTGCCACAGATCATCGGAATAAGCATCTAGAATGATTCAGTGTGTGGCATTGTTGGAGCAGGCCCAGAGGAGGCTACAAAGATGCTGCGAGGGCTGGAGCAGCTCTGCTCTGGAGCCAGGCTGAGCCAGGCTGGGTAAGTCTGGAGAAGGGAGACTTTCTTGCAGCCTTTCAGCACTCAAAAGGGGGTTGTAAGAAAGATGGAGCAGGATTTTTAGTAGGACCTGTAGCGCTAGGACAAGGGGTAATATTTAAAACTGAAAGAGGGGAGATCCAGGCTAGATAGAAGAAAGGAAATTTTTCAGTATGAGGGTGGTGAAGCACTGGCACAGGTTACCCAAAGAAGTGGTAAATGCTCCATCCCTGGCAGTGTTCAAGGCCAGGTTGGACAGGGCTTGGAGCAACCTGCTCTAGTGGAAGGTGTCCCTGCCTGTGGCAGGGGGCTGGGACTGGATGAGCTTTAAGGTCCCTTCAACCCAAACTCTTTGATGAGTAACAAAAACCTGATTAAATGAAAGGTCACAGTGTGACAAAAGGAGAGCCATTGCTGATAAGTGTATTTCTAGCAGTGTCACGTGGGAATTGTTTCTTTGGCTTGATTCTAATCAAGTGATGGGTGTTGGTCTCTTTTCCTCCAAGTGGTAGGGTGAGAGGAAATGGCCTCAAGTTGGGCCTGGGGAAGTTTAGATTGGATATTAGGGAAAAATTCTTTACTGAAATAGTTACCAAGCACTGGAACGGGCTGCCCAGGGAAGAGGGTGAGTCGCCATGCCTGGAGACATTTAAAAGATGTGTAGATGTGGCACTTAGGGACATGGCTCAGTGGTGGTGGCAGTGTTAGGTTTACGGGTGGACTCAATGGTCTTGAAGATCTTTTCCAGCCTAAATGATTGTGTGATTTCTTAAGTCTCTTCTTGTCCTGGAGGAAAACTGAAGGGGGCCTACAAGGATGCTGGAGAGGGACTCTTCATCAGAGACTGTAGTAAGAAGACAAGGGGTGATGGATTTAAGGTTAAACAGGTGGAGATTCAGGTTAGATATAAGGAAGAAGTTCTTTACTGTGAGGGTGGTGAAGCACTGGCACAGGTTGCCCAAAGAAGTGGTAAATGCTCCATCCCTGGCAGTGTTCAAGGCCAGGTTGGATGGGGCTTGGAGCAACCTGCTCTAGTGGAAGGTGTCCCTGCCCATGGAAGGGCATTGGAACTGAATGATCGTAATGACCCTTCCAACCCAAACCAGCCTGGAATTCTATGATTCTAAAGCATGAAGTTAATTTGGATTATGTTTGTGGGCAACACAAAATCTAAGCAAGTCACAAGTAATGAAAAGAGGCAAGTTAGTGGTGGAGTTGTGATCTCATGTATGCTGGGTGGGACCAGAAGGAGTTGTATGAATGCAGGTACCGAGTCTCAGAGCAGGAAGGAGGGAGCTGTTGCAGGAGCTTGGGCTCTTAAAGCAGCACAGTTGTTCAGAACATAAACCAGGCAGAAAGTAAATGGGTTCTTGGACGCAAACATGGAAATCCTGAGCAGGGCAGGGAGGGTGTTATCGCCGTGCAAGGTGCTGCTCCCGTCAGCGCAGGAGTGCTGCGGCCGGTGCTGCGCAGGAATGTTGCTGATAAGTTCAGGGAGGACCATGAGAGAGGGGGAAGGCATACAGTGAAATGAGCGGCTCTGCCTGTAAAATAAACACTGGATTTCTTCTTTTTCCCTTTTTCCTTGTTGGAGACATGGCGTAGTTTAAAGGAGTTCACTGGAGGAAGTGCGGTGGCCTGCCTTGTGCAGGAGGTCGCACTGCATCATCACAGGGTCTCTATTGCTCCATAACAGGAATCTCCAGGAGGGAAGAGTAGGAAAGGAAAAGCCATTGTCTCTTCACAGACAGATGTCTGCATCTCTTCCTACTGAAGCCCTGGGGGTTGTGAGTGTTTTACCTCCAGGTGCCTCATCCACCAGGCTTCCAAATGGGTTGGTTTACTGACCAAGAGCATCTCCCCCCCAGCCAGCACCGTTGCAGTCCCCACAGCTAACCAGCTCTGGGGCAGCACCCATCTTTTCTCGGTTTTAATAATTTCCTTCTGCCCCAGCTGCTGCTTTTTGCCTTTTGAGCTGTTTTACTGCAGACTTTCCAGGAAAGGCTTCTCCTTTGGGAAGGGCAGGTATTCCCTGCCTGCAACAGTGGCTGGTGCATGGGGCCATGACTGGAGAGCTTCCCCCTACAGAGAGTGCAGACCAGGGGTTCAGCATTGCAGAATAATGAGTCCCTCCTTGCCCTTACTGTCACTTTCCTTCTTACTGGCTGTGGACATGGAAAAGAGGGGTGGGTCACAGGGAATTTTGGGGGCAGCAGCTGTGAAGTCTGTCCAATCTGGTATGGTGCCTGGGGGCAGCCAGTGTGCATGCCTTGGAGGAAGTCTTAAGACAAATGCAAGCAGCGTTCTATTTCTTCTGTCAGTCTGAGATGCTGTGAAGCTTAATGGCTCTTCCAAAGATCTTGAGTCAAGCAATTCAGAATTATCATCATTTGCTTTATCAGTATTTTCTCTTCAGCGCCATCCCGTGATGGGGGAGGAAGGAATTGTTATCATTCTGGAGTTTGCTGTCCTCAGATATCGTTAAGAGGTTTTCCTGGCTCTTGCATTGAGCTGAGAGAGAAGCATTTTCCCTGCAGCAGCCTGTGTGCCGGGAGGGCTGTGGTAGCTCAGGTCAGGTCATTGCAAGGGATGGGAAGGTTGAGAGCATGACTTGTGCAGTTTGGTGGAGTCCTGCAGGGCACTGTGGGCACTTACCTGTTTGTCCGAGGTGTACGGAGCACACTGAAAGCTCCATCTGCAGAGGTCATGGGAACTGGTATATGTTATATTAGAATCATAGAATCAAGTGATGGTTCATAGAATCGTATTTGTAAATGGATCCTGGTTCATGCTACAACCTGCATTCCTCTTGTCATTCAGTCTCCAGACGCTTGCTCTGAGGTAGTGGTGCTCCGTATTTCCATAACACATCCCACCCATCCGTCTTAAATTCCATGCATGACATTTTTAATGGGTGCTGTGGTGCATACTTCAGATTCCCCGTGCCTCAGGTTGCTCCATGGTGTCTGACACACTTCACCTGACCTGCGACTGAACTGCTCTTTCCTCCCCAGCACGGGAAGGGGTTTCCATCTACTTGTGCCCTGGATGATGACAGTGACTCTTGGTGCAAACTTGCTCTGCTGCTGCATCCCGGAGGAGAAAGGCTGTGATTTCCTGGGGGAGGAAGGCTGCCATTTCCTGGGTGCTCATTTTTCTCCTCCCTCCCTTCATTCTCTTTCAGAACATGAGTGAGAACTTGAAGGACTGTTTGATCCAGACCCAGGCTTCCTTAGGGGAGATGGTGACAATAAAAACAGAGGCCTGCTCTCCGCGCCGGGACCAGGAGTATGGACAGCCTTGGTACGTGGCTGAGCTGCAGTCCCGTGTACTCTAACCTCTTTCTCTCTACCTCCACCCGCCCCGAGCTTAAAGTTGGTTGTGAGGGGTATACTTGAACTTCTCAAAGTCATTAAAACCCTCCCATGTGAAGCTGGAAAAGACCTTTAAGATCATCAAGTTCAACCGTTACCCCAGCACTGCCAAGGCCACTGCTAAACCACGTCGCTGAGGGTCTCATCTACACGGTTTGTGAACACTTCCAGGGACAGTGATTCCACCACAGCCCTGGGCAGCTTGTTCCAGTGCCTGACTACCATTCCATGAAGGAATTTGTCCTAATGTCCATGCATGGAGGTGCTGTAGCTGAAGCTACCTGCTGTAGTCTGAGCCTTAAGCCATCTCAGGTACCAGCTTTTGGCAGGTTGGGCAGCAAGTGGAGTCATTTCTCTGCTGTAGGTGTCAGGACTAAGAGAGTTGATCAGGCCCCATTGCTTCTGCTCCTCTCTCTGTGCAGTCCCAGCATATTGGTTGGTTAATGTCATCTTTCTCTTGTTCCCTCCCCAGCTCTGGAAGGCCTGACCCACAGTCCATGGAGGTGGAACCCAAGAAACTGAAAGGGAAACGGGATTTGATCATGACCAAGAGCTTTCAGCAGGTGGATTTCTGGTGTAAGTGTCTTGTGAGTGAGGGGAAAAACAATGCTGCCACTTGCATAGGCTTTGGTCTTTCCTAGTTGATGCCCTGCTGCTTTAGGTTGGGAAGCAGGGGACAAAAAAGCTGGGGCAAATTTGTATGCTCCTCCAGCACATTTGCTAGGAAGCTGTTGCACAAAAGCAGTTTGTCTGTCGTGGGGCTCTGCAGCAGTAGGGAGGCGAGTGGAAAGTGTGCTGGAAATGTGAAAATGCACGTAGGGAAAACTCCAGGAGCCTGCAAAACCCAAAGGCTTAGATTCAGAAACTGTGAAGGGACAACTCTTTTCCCCATATTCTGGGAAACGGTTGTAGTCACATTGGCATAGCTACAGAATACCAAACTGTAGGCCTGAGTCCCTGTCTGGACACAGGGCAAGTACCTGGGGCTGCTGTCTCTCTCCCAAACACTGAATAAAGGCTGTATGATGAGGGTAATTGTTTTCAGGGTTGTTTGGTTTAGCTCCCCGCTGGTGTGTGGGGAATCAAACCTTTTGGCTTGAGGACACTGCTGCTATCCAGGGATATGCAGGGAGCTGCCAACCTCTGTCTGTGCAGATGGTGGTGGCACCTTTCCCTGTGTGTAGCTCTTGGTGGTGAATCTGTGTAGGACACCAGGGCTCATGCAAGCACAGGTGTTGGTTGGGCAGGCGTGGGCTGGGACAGAGCACTTGTTGAGAGTTGTGTGGTGAAACAAGTGAGCCCTTGGTGAAGTGTCTGCATGGAGGCCAGGCTTTGGGAAAGGGGCTTAGCCAGGCTGGAGAGAGCTGGTTTGCACTGGCCTGAGTACTGTGTGTCCTGTGAGCTGCATGAGCTTTTACAGACATCACATCCTCCCACCCTAACCCCTGTACCCTCACACCCGCAGTCTGTGAGTCCTGCCAGGAGTACTTTGTGGATGAATGCCCGAACCATGGCCCCCCAGTGTTCGTGTCAGACACCCCAGTGCCTGTTGGCATCCCTGACCGGGCAGCGCTGACCATCCCGCCTGGAATGGAGGTGGTGAAAGAGCCCAATGGGGAGAACGACGTGCGCTGTATGAACGAGGTGATCCCCAAAGGGCACATCTTCGGGCCGTACGAGGGGCAGATGTCCAGCCAGGACAAGTCTGCAGGATTCTTCTCATGGCTGGTGAGTGACTTGTCTCCCCAGTGAAGTGATGCCCCAGCCATTCAGCTCAGAGCTGGGGGACTTGTGGAACTGAATCTTAGCCATCTTCCCCCATCTCTGAAGATCTGCTGACCCACAGTAGGCAAACATCTACTGCCGTAATTATTAGCAGCTTAAGGGTGTAGATAGTGAAAGGAGACCAGGTGCCATGGCACCAAGTTCATGGCTGTAGGAAGCAGAGTTTGCTTCCTCTTGCCCCCTGGCCATGTTTTCCATCCCCACTCAACCCTGGGAATCCTCCAGTACCTTTTCCTGCTCCAGTCATTACTTTGAGGATAGAGGAAGGACTGTATCTAGAGATTGCAGAGCTCTCTCATGGACATGCAGCACTCCTTTCTGAGCACAGTAGGTCATCCAAGAGGCCAGGAGAGAGGAGATCCAGTCCATCAGGAAGTGATCTATATGCAGACTCCAGCATCAAAACCCATAATTTTTCCCCCAGTACTACAGGCTTTGCTTAGCCTAGGAGATAGAGATGTCACTGAATGGACAGGTATTAATTATTAGGAGATTCAGGACTTGAGTTATAGGTGGGAAAATAATTGAGAGCTGCTGCTCTGAACTGCTGCTCACGCTTTTCTGTCTGTAAAGTAAATGTGTGTCTCAGCCCTGTGCTGAAAGGGGAGTTAATCTTCTGTATCTGAGGACTGTTAGCAGTTTTGTCAGCTGCATTCATAGTTCTGTATTACCTTTGTGCATAGGAGATGCTTCTTAGTTCTGAGTAGCCTCCACACACATATCCAGGGCAACAGCCTGTAGTACCAGGACAGCTGAGATTCATGTCCTGACTTAAGGCAGGAACTGAAGCAGTGATTTGAGAGTAATACACCTGCTGTCTGGACCAGCTAGTTGACATACTCCATCTGTTCTCTTGTTTCACAGATCGTTGATAAGAACAACCGCTACAAATCCATCGATGGGACAGATGAAACCAAAGCAAACTGGATGAGGTGAGTCCATTTCTCTTCTGCCTTCCCTTTTAGGGTTTTGTCTTCCAGAGAGAGGCCATCAAACACTCCTTGTTTTGTGTGACAGAAAACCAAACCAAAATGCCGCTAGCCCTTCTGTAAAGGGTGTGCTTGTGCTCTTCCAGCGTTTATTGTGATGAGAATCCTTTGGAGGCACATCAGTGACAGGGACTAAAACAAGGATGAGTGTACATGGAGGATGGCTGTTTCCTGGAATGAGGACAAATGATAAAGATGATCCTATTTATCCAGTCATTCAAATACTGACAGGTCTCACTCCATTGGTTTTGGTTTTTTTAACTTTTAGTTCAAATATTTGCAGAATGCTTTGCATTACTCCCAAGGTACCATCTGATTCTGTTTGGGTTTTTTTATCCTTTCCTATTTGATGGACATTGGAAAAGGTGCTTTACTTGTTTTCTTTCTGGGCTTCACTTGAAACAATTGTCAGTGGTGACTGTCATGAGTAGTGGCAGCTTTACTGTGTTAGGAGAAACATGGAGTGAGTTGCCTCAGCTCTGAATGTAGGAATGCTGCTTGTTCTTGCACTCCCTCTGCTGACCCAGCAGAGCAGAACCCAAATACCAGTCAGTGGGGCGGGCTCTGGTTTACCTGCAGCAGTAAGGGAACATGTTTAACCATGATGCAGTGCTTCAGGTATTGTCATGTACCTGCAAAGGATGTAGGTCACTCTTGCAGCCTCCCAAGACAGAGGCAGAGCACTGCAGTGCCTCCTGTGTATGGTGCATCACCAGGATGGGGCATTGCCCACTGAAGCCTGTCCGACATTCAGACCGATCCTTATTCAGGGGTGAATTTTGGAAGTGGCTGTTACCAAGAAGGCATTTCATACAAGAGTAAAGCAGCGTGGGAATTCACTGGTTTGTTGGCCTGGATGTCTAGGATTTTCAGTTGGATTTTAGGAAAGAGAGACGGTGAAGTGCAGGTGGATGCAAGCCTGACCTCACTGGTCAAATGTGGTTGCACCACTTTTGCTCCATGTGAGCGTTCACATGGATGGCAGCAGTTCTGGCCACTACCTTCACAAAGTTCAGCAAAGAATCTCATTTTTCTGTAAGAATTCCAGCTGTTTCATTACTGAATGAGAGAAAATGCTAGGCCTGGGTTGAGGCTGGAGTTGTCACCCCAAAAAGAGGCAGCGGTACAGTAAACAGATAGGTTTGGGGGCATTGAAGCTAAATGATCTTAAGGTCCTTTCCAGCCCTAACTATTCTGTGATCCTATATATCTTGAAGTAAAGAGTACAAAGTTCAAAAATCAGAGTGAGATTTTTCTGCTTGGATCTGGATCTCTATGTGATCTGGATGATAAAGAAGCCAGTGGGAAACATGGTCTTGGAAAGGAAAAATCCAGTGATGAACTCATCTTGCTGCCATGAACATAAGCTGGATGTCTGGATTTATATGGGCACTACTCCTGGTACCAGTACCAAAGAACAGTGTTCTTGTCTAAACTTGTATTTGCCATGGTTAGGTCTCAGGATGAGTGTGATCTGGGCCATTCTGTGCAATCTGGAAAGGAAAGGAGGTTATGGCTTTGTGGAAAGGGAATGTTTGCAGCCCTTCTGGGAAAGGATGTATCAAAGGACCTGTGCACACTGTACCAGTCTAACTGATCTTTCTGTTTTCACTCTTGAAAATTGCTTCTAATAGCAGTGTAATGTAGAATCTGACAGAGATAGTGGTCCTCAAAAAGCCTTGGTTTTGTTTGTAACCAGCTTTCAAACAGAGGTGCACTGGATACCCTGTGCTAGGACATTTGATATGGATATTACCCACAGAAACCCCACTGCCAGGATGCTGTAGACAGTGCTTTTTGTTTTTCAGATGGTGCTCTTTGCCATCACTCACAGATGGAGTGCTTTGCAAAGCAGATGTACTCACCCTCTGGGTAGGTGGGTATGGCAAGGGGAGGGCAGCTTGGGCTGACTCCTCTCTCTTCTTGTAGATCTGGCTATTGTTTTTTGTTGTTTGACTACCACATCTGAGTCCATTTTCATGTTCCTGCTGAGAACAGTGTGTGCTCTGCAGCACTTGCTGGTTTCATTTCAAGTGGCTGTTTACCCAGGGCAGTGGATGACAGGGAGGAAGGAGCACAGAGCACAGCAGATGGCATGGCAATGGGAACATCTTCTTGCCCTTTCTCTTGTCACTCAGTTGACACAAACTCCTGATGCTGGGAGCATGTTCTCCTAAGCTGGCTTTGGCACAAGATAATGCACCCTTCATCCCTCTGTAAAGTGTTTCCAATACTTTATGAAACTCCATGGCTTTTACCTGCAGGGATGTGTGCAAACATCTTCCTCTGGTTTTCTTTTCTGGGGGATCAGGGTGACCTATTACTATGGATTGCAGCAAACCTCAAGCAAAATTGGTGCTTGCTTGGACACAGGCCATAAACTGCTGCTTATGGGAGTTCTTGGGGCTTCTGAAGGACTGTGTAGATCCAGCCTGGTTGTTCCTGATTATTTATAAGGAATTTCTGTTATTCAGTTGTTGGGACCTCTAAAAAAAATAATGGATCAGACCAAAAATGAAAGTAATTCAGGAAGTCCAGTTAACATCCCTCTGAGTATCTATCACTTCCTAGCTGAAGTGCCTCATGTGTGGGGTTTCCAAGCTAGTTGGGGCATTTATAGTCTGTGTCCTTTCTTCCATGTGATTCCCTGAGTTCTCAGGCTTTTGGCACAGTTCAAATTCATCCTTTCCCTCAGCCCATGGGGAAAGGGCTGGTGCAAGACTTCCTCATTCCTTCTCCTTTGCCTTCCTTTCTGCCCCTTTCCCGTCCAAATGCAGTAACAAAAGAGGTTACAGAGAGCAAGGCTGTTCTGTAAGTCTTCCCGTACATATCTCCTTATAGTGGAGACGTCTGTGATTTGATCTTCATACAATAATAGAGCTTGGAAGGGAGCTTTGGTTGGGTCCTCCAACAGCCTGCTCAAAGCAGGATAAGTAGGTCTTTTAAGCTGTTGGTTTGACTTTAGAGGACCATTTAAACATAACACCTTTAAAAGTCAGGGTTACTGTGTCTGCCCATGTGTTTAAGGGCAGTTAAAGCCACCAGCCACTGCACAAGTCATTTTGTCGAACTCCATAAACTGCTCTCTGTTACCTTGCAGCAAGGGGAGCAAATGTTCTTATCCATTACTGAAGCTTATGCAGAGCAAAGGGATCCTAAAGTACTGAAGCACTGTGATCCCTGTAAAAAACCTACTGGAGAGCCCTGGAAAAAGTATCATGCTTGTTTCTTAGAGGCCAGGAAAAGTGGAGTCGGTTGATGCCTTTGTGGGGTGATCAGTAAGTGTTCTGTGTCCTCATAGTTACAACATCACACGTGTTTTTAAAGGAATAGCTGCGCTGCCTTGCACTTTCACATTGACCTGGGCTGAGGTGTGAATTCACAGCCTGATAAAGCCCACACAGCATCTCCAGAGAGATGTTTCCAGGCATCAGTGACTGCTCCTAGGGACATTCTGCATGCTAGAGAAAATGCTTGAGGGGAAAAGATCTCTCTGCCAGTAATGCTGTCTGCATTTTTATAAGGAGGAGGTTAATGTGCCTGCTGGGAACCTCACCTTAATTGAATTTGTAATTAAAACTGGCCAGAACTCATTACTCTTTGCATGGTGAATTAGCTATTAGAATACTTAAGTTCTCTTAAATCATTTTGACTCAACTCATGCTGGAGTAAAGGAGTGGAAACCCTCAAATCTAAATATCCAGGTCTACCACATGTTGTCCTATGTGCATTTAATGGAATACCCTGTGTGGGAAGAGCAAAAAGGTCTCTTAATTCCCCATGGAGGCAGCTTTGCTGCTGAGCAAACATAGGTTCAGCTTAGAAGAGGGGGTTCTTGACCAGATCTGGAGAGACTTGGGTTGTGCAAGCTCACCCCTACCCAGGGGCACTTGGCAAATACAGCTGCTCCTTTTCAGCAGAGCAGCTTGTCAGTGGAGGTGTGTTTCCACCACATGGAGGCACTGATGATACTCTGGTTGTAGGTACCATTGAGAATAGACATGAAGCCCAGTTTTACTGAATGTGATAAAAATCAAACAGTAAATGTTCCTTTGCTCAGTGTTCTTTGCCTCCTTCCAGTGTTCAGGTCGGAGAACTCGTTTTCACTTTTATTTATCTATTATCCCCTTGAGGTCAGTGTAGCAGGTGCTTTGCTGTCTCTCCATCATTTCATTACCTGGCTCTCCATTGTTTCATTACATCTTCTCTCCATAAATGAAGCTCCACCAACAGTCTCTCAAGGGTGCATTTACATTTGTCCTGGCGAAATGCATCTGTGCACTTAGCTCCCAGCCTGGATCTGAGCAGCATTTCCTACTGTTTTTCCAGCTTTAACCAAGGTTAGCAGCTTCTGACACTTATCCCAGTGGAGGGCAGCAGTGTCAGTGAGATTCATTAAGCAGCAGTGTGAGAGCACTAAGGAGAAACCAGAATGATACCTGACAAGGGGCACTCTGCCTTTCTGTAGGTTCTTAGTCTGCAGCCCACAAGCACATGAGTGCATCCCAATACTTCTGCTGGGTCACAGCAGTGCTGGAAGGCACCTATCTCTGAGGAGATACCAGCAGGGCCATCACAAACGTGGGGCAAGTGGGAAAAATGCCAGGGCCTTTGCTTATACCAACCTTTCAGGAAGTATTTTGAGGTGGCTGAAGCCTGCCTGTGAGAGACAGGGCATTCAGCTGAGATTTTGGAATTAAAGGTAATTTAAGATAGCATGGTAGTAGCAAAGTAGTAGCAAAGATGCTATTGCTATTACATAGCATCTTTGCTTTCATTTAATTTGGGACCATAAGCAGAAAGCAAGCTAACACATAGGAAAGCCAATAGGTTTTCCCTCGCATGGTGTCACTTCAGAGTTACAGTTGTTAGGTGTCCCAACCGTTAAGATGTCTTATTTCTTGTATGTTACATATTAATATCCCTTTTAAACATTGATTTTC